TTGACTGTTGGCTCTTAACACAGAAAAGGTGTAGTCTCTCCTTGAAGGTGTTCTCGTTGACGTAATACTCAACGCGCACCCTGGAAGGAGAGGCGCATCAGACACGTGGGGCAGGTAGGGGGGGGGATGGGTGTGTGTGTGTGTGTGTGTGTGGGCGGGGGGGGGGGGGAGAAATGGGTGTGTGTGTGTGTGGGGGGAGAGAAATGGGTGTGTGTGTGTGTGTGTGTGTGTGGTGTGTGTGTGTGTGTGTGGTGTTGTGTGTGTGTGGTGTGTGTGTTGTGTGTGTGTGTTGTGTGGGCGGGGGGGGGGTAGACTTGAGTTGGGTTGTGTATTTGTGTGTGTCTCTGTGCGTGGTGATTTGTTGTGTTGTATGTGTGTGTGTATGTGTATGTGTCTGTATGCTTATCCAAGTGTGTGTCTGTGTGTAAATACTCATAGAAAGATTAATAAAATAGCAAGGAAGAAAGACAGAAAGTTAAATGTATAGACTGGTAGTTATACAATCCGAACACTGTTATATCTAAACAATAACATACAGTAATATAGTAAACATGACACCCACACAGCAAAAAACAACACACAAAAAAACAAAACTTTCAGCTTAAACTGACATTAAAATAACTGACACTTTAAAGAAATCTACCGTCCAGTTGGTATAATTTGCAGCCATTGACAAAAACAACGCACCTGAAACCCTCTTTCATATTTTGTAAAGAGTTAAAGGCAGTTAAAGGGTAATTAAGCTAATCACACATTCCCAAGGGACGGAGGGCCAGTTTGGTCAGTGTTCAGGAAGCGGTACTGCATATACGCTACACTGGAATTGTGTGTGTGTTGTGCGTGTGTGTTTGTGTGTGTGTGTGTGTGTGTGTGTGTTTGTTGTGTGTGTGTGTGTGTCGTGTTGTGTGTGTTTGTGTGTGTGGTGTGTGTGTGTGTGTTGTGTGTGATGTGTGTGTGTGTGTGTGTGTGTGTGTGTGTGTGTGTGTGTGTGTGTGTGTGTGTGTGTGTGTGTGTGTGTGTGTGTGTGTGTGTGTGTGTGTATGTGTGTGTGTGTTGTGTGTGTGTGTGTGTGTGTGTGTGTGTGTGTGTGTGTGTGTGTGTGTGTGTGTGTGTGTGTGTGTGTGTGTGTGTATGTGCGTGTGAGATGGTTGTACATTGTCTTTGTTCCATAGCGGATCCTGTTTTATGTGGATGAGGATATGAATAAATAAAAACACGCACATGTACACGTCACGCACATTTATGTAAATGCATATATATATCCTAGGATAATTAAGATGAATGGAGTCGTTACGTAAATACAAACAGACACGCGCACACTCCCGGACACCGAACCCAACTACACACACACACACACACACACACACACACAACACACACACACACACACACAACACACATACACAACACACACACACACCACACACACACACACACACACACACACACACACACAACACACACACACACACACACACACACACACACACTCACACACACACACACACACACACACACACACACACACACACAACACACACACACACACACACACACACACACACACACACACACACACACACACACACACACACACACACACACACACACACACACACACACACACACACACACACACACACACACACTCATAGAGAGAAAATTCAGACCCACCCACTCGTACCCAAACTTCCTCTTCCAACTCGGTGATTCTATCTCTCCTCTTCTCTCATACTATCCATCCCTTTATCACCCTCCTTCTATCCCCCCCTCTCAACGTCTCCCATTCCTCTCTTTCTCTACCTTCTCTCTTACGCTTTATCAGCTCTATCGCCATTTCTGTCCTCAAGATCGACGCCACGAGAAGCATAACAGGGTATCAGCAAGAGATAGAAAAAGTGTGAAGGAGAATGAATATATTCACATGTATTTCTGAAGAAGATGTTTTCGAAACCGGGTAAATACATCTCTTGTACTGTTTCATTCTCATTCACACCTCTTCTACATGTGTCGTTATGGATTCAGTCATATCAGCATATGTTACTGACATCCACTTAGGAGGGTTATTAACAGCGAAGTCCCAAGTAGGAGGCACTCAGTAAAAAGGAAGAATTTTAACTGTGAATGCGAAGACGTGAGAGGAGAGGAGGAGGAGGAGGAGGAGGAGGAGAGAGGAGGAGGAGGAGGAGGAGGAGAGGAGGAGGAGAGGAGGAGGAGGAGGGAGGAGAGGAGGAGGAGGAGAGGAGGGGGAGGAGGGGGAGGAGGAGCTGAGGGAGGAGGAGGGAGGAGGGAGGGGGAGGAGGGGGTGAGGTGGAGGGGAGGAGGTAGGAGGCAGGAGGAGGAGGAGGAGGAGGAGGAGGAGGAGGAGGAGGTGGAGGAGGAGGGGGAGGTGGAGGAGGAGGAGGAGGAGGAGGAGGAAGGAGGAGGAGGAGGAGGAGGAGGAGGAGGAGGAGGAGGAGGGAGAGGAGGAGGAGGAGGAGGAGGAGGAGGAGGAGGAGGAGGGGAAGCTGTGTAGTTATATTGATGGTGATTAGGAGGAGGAGCAGAATATGATGATGAAGATGATGATGATAATAATGATTTTAAGCCTAAGAATGATAATAGTAATGATGATAATGATAAAACTGATAGTGCTAATGGTAATGCTAATAGTAATAGTAACGACAAAACAACAATGATAATGATAATACCCAATATTACTAATGATGATGGTGATAATGATAACAATGATAATGAGAATTATGATTACAATCATAATAATGAAGATGATTATAATAATAATATTGATAATAGCAGTGGCAATAATAATATAACAATGATGATAGGAATAACAAAACCACAACAAAAACAGGAACAACAACAATAAAAGCAAAGAAGATAACTGATATTAGCATCATTGATAGTCCTAAGGTGTAATAAGAGCCCTTTTCCGATATCGTGTTCTCGTAGAACTTATAGAACGGACCTATATTGCGTAATGCTTAAAGATACGGATCGGTTCAATCTACAGATCGTTTGTAGAATTTTTTTTTCTCATTGATATCTTGATTTCCTGTTCTCTTTTTTTTCTCCTGTGATTTGTATGCGTTAATATTTTGTTGTTATTTTCCTGTTCTCTTTTTTCTCTTGTCTGTTGATTTGTATGCGTTATCTCAGAATTTCCCTCACAATAGAGCCATTCATTAAACCAAAGTCTTCGGGAAGTTGGAAATGCGTTTCTTCAGTCAAGTTCCAACGTCTCTCTTGCAACGTATATAGTTAGTATCAAGCTGAGAAACTCGAATTCGGATATGTCACTTTGATCTAAGGTATGTGTTCAGACTATTCGGGAATTCAAGACACATTAACACCGAGAGATGTATTGACAGACCAGTGCCAGCCAATCACTCCCTATACAATATTCAGTGATACCCATTCGTCCATATAATAACTTTCTCGTCATTTCATTTTTTGGTGAGCTGATAATTTCCAACGTAGAACTCTTGGAAGGGAATGAAAATTTGGAAAGGAAATTGTTATGAAGTCGTCATTTCATTCTTCATGTTGCTCCGTAAAGGACTCGTATCAATATAGGAAGTTTTAGATTTCCCAGAATTCCAGGTCATACATGAAGAACCTGCTAACAAAAATAGTACTATGGAGTCACAGCGCCACTAATTGCACTGTAGTTTCGTCCTCATAAAGTGCGACGATTCATATCTCATGAGAACTATTAAGCCTTTACTCATTACTTAGAGCATTTACCATTCTACCAGGTCATGCAGTGCAGAAAGATTATCATATATCCAGTCATCTTAAATCTCACAGTTCCTTGAATGCAGAATGATTGAGGTAATCAATCTTCAATCTTGCTGCACTTTATCTCCACCTCTCTACAAGAGATCATAAATATCACCTATCACCCCGCACTCTCTCGCAGTTTCTTGAGTACAGAACAAGTACCATCTTCAGTCTCCACCGCAACCTTTCTCCAACTCCCTAAAGTACAGCACAATGATCACTTTACATCCCCCTGTACTTATCTCTCTTGCACAGGTCCTTGAATACAGAATAAGTACCATCATCAGTCTCCTTGCTCTCAACCCCTATCTCACGGTTCCAGAATAATTACCAAGGCTTAAAACATCTTAATTCTCACTGCCGTAAATTCGTCAAGGTCTTAGACACCACGCACCTTTCACTCACCTTTAAGGACTTACGATGTCTCTCTCTCTCTCTCTCTCTCTCTCTCTCTCTCTCTCTCTCTCTCTCTCTCTCTCTCTCTCTCTCTCTCTCTCTCTCTCTCTCTTTCCCTCCCTTGCATAATCTTTAATCTCTCGAGGCCACATTCACGCATGTACACGCAGGAACACACACACAACACACACACACAGACACGCATATACTTAAAAAACACACATATATACACATAAACACTAACACACACACATAATCACACGCATATACATAAACACACACACACACACACACACACACACACACACACACACACACACACACACACACACACACACACACACACACACACATACACACGTACATCCAACCAGGAACGAAGGAAAGAGAGAACTAAACATAATAAGATTCCTCCTTCCTGAGAAACAGCGGAGTCCCAGTGACAAGCGCGGCGTTTCAAATTACCCAATTACGATAACAGTGACACTCGTTAGCCGTTTCAAATTACCCATTTAAGTACATGGTGGCCCTCATTTCCGTTTTCATCCGTGGGGCCGTTTATGGTACTTTTTTATATATATTTTTTATTTATTCAGGGGCTTTTGTTTTATAGATTTTATAACTGCGCGTGTTCATGTTACATATTAATCATCCGTGGGGCCGTTTATAGTACTTTTTTATATATTTTTTTATTTATTCAGGGGCTTTTGTTTTATAAATTTTATAACTGCGCGTGTTCATGTTACATATTAATTCGTATTTGGTATTAGCTACGCTGCCTACAATATTCAAGTAGCAAATATTTTAACATGATTAGAACCACGACTATACAAACTATTATTCATTTTTATTTTATATTTATTATATTTTTTTCTTTGGCATTGCTGTTATCATTTTACTGTCATCATCATTATCATTACTAACATTATCATTATTATTACCGTTATCACTCTCACTATTATAGCTATTCTTATTACTACTGCTCTTACTACTATTACTCCTACTCTTACTACTACTCCTACTCCTCTCTTACTACTCTACTCTTACTACTACTACTTATACTACTATTACTCCTCCTCTTACTACTACTATTACCCTTACTCTTACTACTACTCCTACTCTTGCTCCTGCTCCTACTCTTACCACTATTCCAACCCCAACTAAACCCATCATTATCACCTCTCGATCATCTCCTCTCCCCCTATCACCACCGCAGCCTCCTTCCGCCCTTCCCCCTCCTCCTTTCCCCGCCGCCGTGCCCTCCTCCCCGCCCCCCGATCCTTCCCCGCCCGTGCCCTCCCTCCCCCTTCCCCTTCCCTTCCCCCGCCGCCGTGCCCCTCCCTCCCCCCCCCCCTCCTTCCTCCTTCCCCCCGCGCCGTCCTCCCCTCCTCCCCGCGCCAGGGAGAGGGACCCGCCGCCTGAGGGCAATTTCCATCAAAGGGAAAGGGCGGCCGCTCGCCTTTGCCTCGCGCGGGCCGCTCGCCGAGCCCTTTTATGGTGACGCGGGCAATCATAGAAGCCGAAAATGTGAAAAATGTTATACTAGCCACGAGAATTAAGTTGCACTAAAGGATATATATCTATATCTATCTATCTATCTATCTATCTATCTATCTTATATGTATACATAT